AGTTTGCTGTGATGACCTCAGCAGGGTATAATGACACTGAACCCACCATTTTCTCCAGAGGAACTGATCTCTGCTACCTAAAGAACAGTTGTAATTTTGAATGATCTCCAGCCCTCACCTGGAGATTGGCAACGATGGTTCCCCAGAAGGGAATGGTTTGGAGGGTGGAGTCTATGGCTTTGTACCTATTCGAGGTCCCACGCCTCCTGAAACCTCACCCTCTCCAGGCTCCATCCCTCACATCTCCAGGAATTTCCCACCTGGAGTTGGCAACCCTATCTCCTTCCCAGCCAATCATCAACCTACCTTTATTTCCCCCTCACTCTTCAGCTTTCCACCCCCCACACACCTGCAGCCTCTCCCGTGCTCTGAAGCCCTGACTGCTACGTCACATTGCCTGTCATACGGGAGCCACCTCAGCAGCATATAAGGAAACAGAGCCCACCATTTTCTCCAGGGGAACTGATCTCTGCCATCTGGAAAGCAGCTGTAATTCTGAGTGATCTCCAGCCCTCACCTGGAGGTTGGACACATTTTACCTCAGAAGAGCAAACTTTTTAGAATGTTAGAGGCAAAAGCCAATCAAGTCGCATATGCAAACAACCTCTGTGTTCCGAGGCAAAGGCCAATGAGGCTGCATATGCAAATAACCTCTGTGTTCTGACTGGCTATGGGGGGGAGAGGAACAGCAAACTGTTAAGAATGTTGGAGGCGAGACTCAAGCAATGCAGCCAGTGAATAGGGACATCATGTTCATGACACACCCACAGTATATCACCTAAAAGAAAGAAGAAAGCTGACCATCCAGGAACCTCCACAGAGAAGCTTGTGATAAAAACCGGCTGGATAAAGCGTATGGCAGAGAAATGGGGCACAGAGTGTCCAGCTGGAGACTTCTTGGGCCACCAGGAAGAGGAAGAGATGGACTTTGGGCTGACAAGCTGCCCCACAGAACCCACAAGCTTCTTCTTCTCTTCAAATGATTTCTTGATTTAGAATGACTGAGTCCAAAGGAAGAGAATATTCTTTCTACGCCAGCAGAAGCAGCTGTTGCTGTTAAAAGTGAAACCTGCTAGATCAAAGCATTCCCACAAACAAGTTGTTGGTTGACCAATAGAAAAGCTACAGGTCACTTCATTAGACTAAGCAGCTCCCTCAAACTTTCCCACCATGGAATACATTATGTAACACAACATCCTGTTTCCTGACAAACAACATTTAACTCTGTAATGACTGAAGTGTAGCAACTTGAAACTCCAACACATAGCTAACTCCTCTTCCTCAGCACTTAAGGTTTGACCCTGGTACCAGGTACTGACAATATTTGCAAGAAAATGAGCTGGAGACAGCGCTCGTCCCATTCGTTTTTTTAATTATTGTAATTTAATTCTGTCAGTGTGTAGTTCTGTTTTTAAGTGCTCCCTCGGTTCCTTCCAAATTTCAACCACATCAGCAACAAAACAGCTATTTTTCTGTATTTGGTTTAAAGCTTCGGAAATGGGTTTCAGGATGCTCAGCATATGTTCAATATTTCTCTTAATCCCAATGTTGAAGATTTTGGGCTGTGAACACCAATTTTAATGTTGTATTGTGGTGTTTAAAACTGTAATCACATTTATTCTATTACCAAAATGTTGCTATCTGCCCTGAGCCCGCTCGCGGGAAGGGCGGGCTATACATATGATAAATAAAGAAATAAAGTCTTTATTTATGTCTATACATCGTGACGTATTGTCCCAACTACCCTCAATACCCCTGACCAGTACTTCCCTCCTGAGCCTTTGAGCCCTAACAGCTGAAGAGTGGGATGCTATCAGTAGATTGTAGGTTGCCTCCGGGATCTCAGGTTTCTCTGGCCAAAGTCCTCGTTCCTCTGCCTGGCTAGCACGGGGTCCCCAGAGGTTTTTCCTCTACTGCCGCGGACATTTCCTGCTCCTGGGACATCGTTGCTCTGGAGGGCTGGTGGGCAGCGTTCCCTCTGAGCTGTGCTAGGGGGTGCCGGCGCACAAAATTTTAGGTGGCTGCTCAGGGATTTTAGCTTCCGGCTCACAAGCATTTTCCCCACCATTGAAAACAATGGAGGATGGGGGCACCTCCTTCTGAGTCCCACAGAATTGGACCCCCTGCTCCAAGCTTTTTGAAACTGTGTGTGGGGGGGGTTTGAGGACAGGCACCAGCAGCTATGCTGCACATTTGATGCCTTTACCTCCAAATATAGCACCCCCAGTGCCCCGGATACCCCCCGATCGATTCTCCAGTATAGCCTATGGGGCCCATTGACTAATAGTCCCCATAGGCTTTAATGGAGTAGGAAAAAAATCAGTATTTTTGCACACCCCTATTATGCTTTTCAGTATGATTTGTAAGCTGTCTTGAGTTACAGTCAAAGTGGGATATAAATATTTGAATAAATAAGTAGTTTGGGCAGGTTGATAACATTTAAGCAACTTCCTGTTTGTCAGGTTAGGCGGCATTCTGACAGTGATGGTGCCACCTGTTATACTTGATCTGTGTAAATCTGTCATGTTTCACTAACACCCCCCCCCCAAAAGTAGACTGCAAGAATTCCAATAATCTTACAGAAACCTCTGGAAGAGCA